AAAATTTCACTCTCATCAATTTTTCATAACGCGCCTAAAGAAGTATAACTTCACAAAGAAAAGCTGGTGATGACTGGTGAAAACTGGATCAAGCAAAATACAGACAGATGTGGAGCAAAATGGAGGAGGCCTTTACTAATAGAAAGGTCCATAATTATTTATAAAAATGATTTTAATTATTTTAATATAATAATAATCAATATGGAAATAAAGAGGCTATAATAATAATATTAATCGAGGCACCGCTGTTCATAAACAGTATCCACACTGATCAGAGATGTAATGTAAAACTCGGTAACGAGTGACTTTCACAAAACTATTATTATTCATACAGTATATAATTTTACATCATAATAAATTACAGCGATAATTTTTGGAAATAACTGATTTATTCGCGTTGCGATTTTATCAGTTATAATGATTACTATCACAATTCACAATATAAAACCGAGTAAAATTTGGTGGCGATTGTTGAAGGGATGTTCAAATACATGTCTAAATGAAACAGTTTATTTGAAGCTAGCCGCTAGGCCAAGGTGTCAACTGTCTTAATTCATAAAATAGTGCGTGCGTACAAAAGACACATGTCAGAAGTGAAACTTATTTGGCAAACTGATTGCTTACTTTTGCTGACAAGAGATCCTTTTCTCGCGACAGAAGGATGCTGCAGTTTTGTATCCTGTAAATTTTATAAAATCTAATTTGGCTCGGGAAAGCCAAGATTCTGAAATACATATTGCTTGAAATGTTGGGTCTTGATGTGAGTGTGTAGTGAATTTTGTTTTTTTAAGTAAGTACGAGTAGTACCGCTTCTGGTGACTTATTATTATTCTTTCTTATTATATTCTAACATTTCTTTTAGGTTTTCCAATATTAATTTAGTCTGTTCGTTTTGGCTTTTAATGGCTTCAGTAAGATCCGAGTTCAGCGTGTCTCCTAGTATGCTTGAATGTTCAGAGTTAATTAAATCGTTGTTCGAAAATTTAGGTTAACGTATTGTTATATTTGAGCTCTGAGGCCGATTTTTCCGATTGTATTCCCTCACGGGCTCTAGCACTTGTTGGGGTATTCATATTTGTTGGTTTTCATATTAAAGTAGCATTCTGGACATTTCAAATATTCTGTACATTCTTTATCCATTTCATCATTAAAACGTATTGATACGCGAGCACAATTTAAATCGAAATAGTTTCGACAAAAAGAACATTTTAAGAATTCTCTTTTTGGTAGTATCCTTGCATCCGCCACATATCGTTTGTTGCTTATTATTTTGCTTTATCTGATTTATTTTCATTAAGTCTTAAGTGCTAAGCAAACTTAAATAGAGGTTGAAGGTAGGAGGGTGGAAATTAAACTAAATTGGACCACAATATACATTTAGGTGTCTAAAAATAGTTAATTTAAACATAAACTAGACCTAATTGTATTACAAGAACCGTTCGTTCAACTATAACTATTGCAGATAAAAAATGGGCCGACAACGCATCCTGACACAATAAAAGAAATGTATATATAGTAAATAATGAAAAGGAAACCTGAGAACACAGCTAGTTATTTATAAATTATGTTAATGTTATGCTTTTATTGGGAGCCAAGACTATGTTAGACATACTACATTTTTTTTGCAATGTGAGGGAATATTGATTGCAGGGGTATGTCGTACTCGACTCACACCAGAATATCTGCCATTCAGAGACTGGTTGAGCAATACCCATTATAACCACCTCGAGTAGTTCCTATAAAACTGCTCGAGGTGTCTCCGGAGTTGCATCTACCGGGACCTCAACGGCATGTTACGCTCAAAAACCTACCGGAGAAGTACACACTGCAAAGGAGGTAGGAGATGGACATATGTTCTCCTATTTACTCCGCTTCTTCTAATCCTTAAGCTCCCTCTTTCGTTCTGCTATCTTCTGTTTTCGTATCAAAACCATTAAAGAAATTTAGCCGATTTAAAGGGAATGCATTCAATTACGCTGTTATTGAGTAGCTGAATACAAGTTTTAATTTTGCTTCTAAATTTCTGTTAAAATTTAATATAATGTGTTTTTTTTTCATCATTCATTCCCTTGTTAAAGATTATATTCATTTATTTGCTTGGAAATATTACAGTTACTTATTATACAATATCTGCACATAAAATATAAAAGAAAAATAACGTAGAATTTTTCATAAAGGGTACAATTTTTTTTTATATATTTTTTTTAATATACCAATTTGCTGGTAGTTTATATTAAAGGTAATATAAAAAAATTTAAATGTCACATAACTTGGAATCTCTAGAGACGATGGCAAGCGATTATATCAAGACGGGCTTTGGTATGGGATGCTATTTGTGCGGACATGTTGGCCCCGTCTCACCTTCCTCGGACCAGCAAAAAAGCTGGGGTGACCGCAGAGCAGGCGGAGAATATAAGAGTCTTTCCTCCAACTTCGATTTTGTTCCCATTGGAGTGGTCTTGGGCCGTGGGGTTCAAGTGCTAATTAAAGATTTAAAGTTGGCGCCTAGTAGGTGATACCAGAGGTACTTTGAACGAATAAGTAAAGCAATACAGCGAGGAAAGCTGCCAGCGTTAAAGGTACACTGCCACAGGGAGCAAACTTTTTAAATTTGTTTTAATTTTCTATTTATTAATTTTTAATTATCATTATTACCATGTAGGTTAAGAAAATTGTAAATATTTAATTGTTATGTTTAGGTTTTAATAAACGATATATTGTGTACATTAAAATAGTAGTTTATGCAACTGTCATATAATTACACGAGATTATATATATTACACGAGCGTTTTAATGCCTAATTACATGCAGATGCATACACTACTTTATTTAATCTCATGGCTATAGGTAGCTACATTAAATAAAATGCATTATAAAAGAAACAAATTATTTATAATAATCATTATTCACATTTTGAATATTGCAATTAGAGCTAGTCGTTGTCGGGGTTGACAATGGAACGTTCATATTAATTTAATTTTTATTATTTTCTATGGAATTGAGTATCGAAATCGATACTAAGATTTTGTTAGTTAAAGAAGCGTCTTTGTAGCCTTCTGCAGCTGTAGTTGACTTCCACCCTCCGTGACGCTTTAGTGCTGTTATGTCTCCGCCAGCATCGATTAGTAAGGTCGCAGAAGTTCTGCGGAAGCAATGTCCCGTGTACGAATCTGAGTTTGGAAGATTACGATAACTGGCTATCGTTTTACCCAACATTCCAAATTTGTCAATACCAACTCTTTGTTGGGTGCATTTTCTGAAATTTAATTCAAAAAGCAGGAAGGATTGCTACATGAATTTGGTCGCAATTCTATGTATTGTTTACATAATTGGTAATAAGGCAAATATTACCAATTATGTTATGGTAAAAGATCGGTCTGTTTTGTTTCTTGTGTTACAAATTTTAACTAAAATTGATGATTCGAAAACTTCGACGTTCGACTTAAGTAATATGAACCCAATAAACATCTATGTATAAAGCCATTACTTAGTGAGATGGCGTTTAGTAACTATTATATTCTATTCAACTTTTATTTATCTATCTAATAAATCAATACTTCTTACCTTTGTTGAAAGATATAATTTAGCGGGCACTTCATTTAAAAATTTATTTAAGTATTCAGCTGAAAATGTCTTGGCTTTCTTCCCTTTATCTCTTATATATCTTTGTGATTCACGTTTCAGAATTTTATGATTATATATTATTGGTTATATTGGTATTATCAATTTTGTTGTAAATACTCAGTGTAGGTACTTTTAATCATAGAACATTTAGATCATAAGGACGAACACTTAAAGTTATCCAATAATTCTTAAAAGTAGGCTAACTAAATGTTTTGGAAATATAAGTTAGCCTTTTTGTTCATTTTCAAAATATTACTCAAATTCGTATACAGTACGAAATAGCGCCAAAATGAAAAAAGTCTGTTATTGGTCTATTGGCTCGGAAGCAGCGCGTTGCGCGCGCAGCGCGACAGCTAATATGTGAAACCTCCTTGGTCGGGATACATTGTACTTTAATAATTAAAAAATTGTTTTAAAGCATTGTTTTGTTAGGAGAATAATGCTTTAATTTAATTTTTTAATTTTCTTAAAGCAGTATGTAAATATAATATGCCAATAAAAGTCTGTATTTCATTTTATAAGTAGAATATTACCGAATGAGATTACATAAACTTGTTTAATATATTATTCACTATGGAAATAAAGAGGCTATAATAATAATAATAACAATAATCGTGGCACCGCTGTTTTTAACATCCACCTCTGACCAGAGATGTCGCCACATGTAATGTAAAACGCGCTTACAAGATATTGTCGCTAAAAGATATAACAAAACTATTATTAAATAATGAGTATACTCCTACCAATTGAGGCGGTAACTCGTTAAAATAAATTTTTGGGCTGATCTATTCGCGATGCGATTTAATCAGTTATAATGATTAGTGATTACTATCACTTTATAAAACCGAGTGAAGTTTGGTGGCGACTGCCATTTATTTATTCAGAAGATTTAACATTAACACACTATTTGCTACCTTAAATGACGCATTTGCTACCTCTGCATTAAAGAAAGAAATAATGGTCTGGTCAGACAGCCATTCTGACGTCAGGTTGGCTGACCACTATTAGTTAATTGGGTTCTAAGAATCTTTGAGTGATAGCGTTTTTATACATATTTACTACCTATTTTCTACCTGAGCAAACCAACTTTAAAATAAGTCTCAGAAGCCTATAATTTTTTTTATTATTAATATAGCCATGAGGGGTCTAAAAACGCCTACAAAAAAGGTAAAGGTTTCTGGCCACTTTATTTCTTTATTATGTTCTTTAATGCAGAGTTAGCAAATGCGTCTTTGGAGGTAGCAAATAGAATCAAATAGGTAGAGAAATATGGCGTATAGTTTGATTGCGATATAAAATTTGGTCAGCCAACCTGACGGTCACCAAAGCTTTCCACTATTGTTAATTTTTATTGGTAATAAAGCTTTTCTTTAACACTATTTGTAATTTATTATATTATTATTAAAATAAGTAACAAACATTTCTCGGACTACAAATGCGGCGTTTGGAAATCGCTGATTTGTAGATCTTATTGAAGTGAACGCTCTTGACATGTCCGATGATTCCAAGGGTGTTTCATTGGGCTCAAAATAAAAAGACTCTCCCTTCACTCTTATGCAGTTATTGTCTTTGACAATATCAACAATATAAACCTCACTTTCTATAGGTCTATGAAAGATCCGGTATTTTCGCGCCAAAATACCAAAACTGTTTTTAACAACTCGTCTGGCTCGACAATGTCGATAGTTGAAAGTTTTCTTTCTGTTGTCGTGTATTACCGCTGCTCTAGGAAAAGGCCGCATTAAATATTCTTTCAAAGCAAAACCTTCATCTCCGATTAACACTTGAGGTGTAGTGTCTTCATTTCCAGGAAGAGGTTTTGGGGGTAACAGTGATTTGCCATTTAGGTATACTCGATAAAAGATAGAATTTTCGAAGATTCCGCTATCGCTCAATCGTCCATAGTTTCCGATATCAACAGTGATGAATTTATAAAATGGATCCACAATCGCAAGCAAAACGATGGAGAAAAAGTGTTTATGGCAAAAATAGTTCGAACCGCTGTTAGGAGGGCATTTAATAGCAATATCTATGTTTTCCGTCAATACTTCCCACACAATTGGAAAAGTTCCATATTTCTCTGTCACCAACTTCCGACGGCCTACATATCTATTCTGTCAGTGTTGGCATATACTTCGGTTATAGTACGTTCCATATTTCTGTGCAAACACTCTTCATAATATCACCTACCGTACTGCGTAAAACGCGAAAAGAAAAAGCAATGGTTTGAGAGGAGTCACCGGTGATTAAATACCTGAAAAAATATAAAATATGATTTAAATTAAAAATAAGATTCATAACATATGGTATATCCATGCGATAAATCAAATAATCAGCGATAAAAGTTGTATTGTATACATAAAATTTCTTGCTATAGGTGAAGCCGTGAGGAGTAAATGGAAGACTGGTAGAGATGGCAACACCAAATATAAAAAAGCAGCTTAGAACTTCAACAGGTTCTAGCAGAAAAAATATCAGTTATGCGTGGGCATCACAGCTTGCGTTCCTAGACAGTTTTAATGTGCCACGAGCGTCTCATTAGATTCTACACAGCTTTCTCCACGTACTCAAATACCTGCACTAGATTCTGAAAATTCACAAGATATGACATCACAATATAATCCACCACGACTACCATCAACATTGTCATCATCACAGGTTCAACCATTAGCTCAGGCCCTGCCTCCAGAATCGCCAGCTAATACACTTACGGCATCAACATTAAGAGTTTCATATCGCAATAAAAGACAATCATCAGAGATCAGAAGGAATGAAGATGATGTTGGGAGAGTGTTAGAATTTTTAAATGCAAAAAAGAAAAAAGAGCATAATGTCATCGATCATATATTTCTAAGTTACGCTGACACTTTCAAAAAATTTGCCCGCGAGAGCAAGCTATCGTAAAATTGGAATTAGCCAAATTGTTTTCGAACACCGAATTACAATTGATCAACAAAAATTCTAACGAATCGCACCTCCAGTATTCTTCGATGATATCAGCTACAAACTCCAGTGTGAGTTGTGATGAAAACCATACAATACAAAAATTCAAACTATCGCCTTATCCTCTGCGTTTTAACTAGTAAAATTACATTAAATTTCACCACCGTGAAAAAAACGTCTACCATGAACGAAGTTTCCCGCGCTTTGATTGAATGAAAATATGAATTGAAAACGAAATATGTGCATTCGTATAATAGAAACCAAATAATGCGCTGAGTTTATGGAAATTATTTAAAAAAATACTTAATAACCATATACTAATATTAAATATAGAAAAATACTAAATAGATATTATATAATATAATTTCTACTGTTCATAGTTAGCTTGAGGTGGTCAGTGTTCTGTCGTTTTCGTTTACCGCCAAAAGGCTCAATTAATGCCTACATTCTTACACAGGTGGCGCTATTCCAAATGAAAAATTGTAGTCTAGATTCACATGCCTAGATAGCGTTTTCCACATTTTCCTCTTAACTTTATAATTAAATCCTTATATTTTCTATAATATTCAATATAAACCAAATCAATTTATTGATAAAAAATATAAAAATCGTTCCCAATCGGCCATTTAGTTTACAATAATGTGATTTGAACGCATGTTTTTCTGAGGGATGTGTTCAAGTTTTTAGTAAGGGCTATTGGAGGGTCCGTGGTTACAGCCGTAAGCGGTGTTGGCGAGATAGCCGCTCTAAGTACTCGCCACCTATATGTTTGACGCGACTAAGCAATCAATACTATATAGACTTTAATGTTCTAATACACGAAAAAGATTAAGTGAGACTTCGGTCTCAACACCGCGGTGGTAGCCGATTTGACCTTCTTTTGGACAAAAACCTTGAAGAAAACAATAAATAAGTATCTGTCCCCGCGAACTGCGTTTTGAAATATAATTTATTATCTTTACTTAGCCTACCTTTAGTAGCTTTAGTAGCTACATACTACCTAATATATGGAACATTTTAAAGTTTTTTAGGGTTTTCCAATTCTTCTCTCTATAAAACATTCTTCAGAGTTCAAAGAATAAATATTTAAAAAAAATATCCAATTGGTCCGCAATCCGAGAGCAGTGTTGGCCTAGTAGCTTTAGCGAACGCCTCTCATCCCTGAGGTCGTAGGGTCGATCTCCGTGCACTATTCGCTCGAACGGTGCAGGAAAACATCGCGAGGAAACCAGCCTTAGACCCAAAAATTCGATGGCGTGTGTCAGGCACACGAGAATGATTACGTACTAGCGTATAAGACAAATGATTATGAAGCAGATACAGAAATCCGAGGCCCAGACCTAATAAGGTTGTAGCGCTAATGTTATTTTATTTTTTAGTTATTTATATACATTTAAACAATTTTATTAATTTACAAAGCAATAATCAAAATAATTGTAAGTCTATAAAAAGAAAATTAAAACAAGTTTAAAAAGTTTGGTCCCTGCGGCAGTGTACCTTTAATGCTGGCAGAATTTCCTAGCTGTAGTGCGATCGTTGAGCGAGGAAAGCACCAGCTCTGGGGTCATCGGTACTATCTACAAGGCGCTAACTTAAATCTTTAATTAGCGTCTCTTCCCAAGAGACTCTTCAAACTACAAAGGGAATAAAATCAAAGTTCTTTGGCCGCCCCACCTTTTTTTATTGTCCGCGGCAGGTCCCCACAAGCATTATAATTATTTAATAGAATATAATTCTCTCAAATCTCGTGACTCAAAATGCATGAAAAATTCATATTTTTAGTGATTTACGAGTTCATAATATATCTTATATCACCGAAACTATAAATTCATATTTTATTTATTTATTTATTAGAGCTTTATTAATTAATCCATACAATAATTGGTTATATACATGATTATTAGCTGTGTTAATAAGTTGTAAAAAATTAAGTTAGTCTTTCAGGGTAAAAGCCTCCTCCATATTTTCTCCTTTGTTGAGATCTAATTGCCTTGTTTTAGATGATACGCTCTTACGCTGAAAGTGCATAATTTTAATTATTGTGACGTGAATTAAGTATGGAGGCGGTATTACTATGGAGATGTTTAAATAATACTCTTTGTTTGCTGGGTAACAACTGCCTTTAATGGTTTTGAAATATGAGCTTATAACTAACACAAACATAGGAGTAGAGTAACGGGAACAAAGACAAACTTGGTTTATCATCAGTATCAGTTCATAAATCTAAACGACACTTATGACTTAATGAGAATGGTAAAATAGAATTTTTAAGCGTTGTAAACAGTAAAGGACTTATATTGGCTTAAGTGTGCGATAATTGTTTACATTACTTACAATATATATATGAAACTTAACTAATTTTGGGTTACATAACTCGTCGAGCGCTTTTTTATGATTGTCATGTTCTTCGGGCACATACGGAGCCAAGCCGGATTGGGGAGTATTTTGTTAGCGTGACAATTGTAATTGTTGTCTTTTCTTTGGTTTCCGCTATGCTGTTTTGTACAGTTAATTTAGAATCATAAACCGTTTGATTTTTCGATATAGGTGAAGAGAGCGCTCGATCAGAGCAAAGTAAAAGCTGGGAAGTCTTCTTAAAATAATAGTTAAGATCTTTTGTGAAAGTATCTCGCTGCTAATCTGAAGGGCTTACAATATATAGGACAGCAATACTAGACTAGAAAGGCACTTTCCCGCGACTAGCCAAAGGGCGTCTTCTGCGAGCTTGGGTCGTCGTGCGGTGGTCAATCGCCGGATCTGAACGCCCGGTACCGGAACCCGGTAAAGACGGTTTTTTCCCTAATCTGGTTTTAAGTTTGCTTTGCCGCTCGGGCGGCTTTTAATCAGTTTTTGAGGGTGATTAGAAAATCCGGATCCGTTAAAATGTGTGTAGCAGGTACAGGGCTACGCCTGCTATGGGCCTAAGACTGCTACGAGAGTACGCTTGCTACGAGCCTACGCCTGCTACGCGCCTAAGGGTGCGTACAGACTATGTAACATATTATATAACTTGTGTTTTATAACACGTCCACATTATGTAACCTTGTTATTCAACATTATAACATAAAACAATACTGTACACATTAGAATAACAATGCAATATAACAATGTTATATAACCATTTTAAATAACAAAAGAAAAACAAAAAAACGTAGATGCTGGGTTCGTCCTAGCATACATATCAATAACTTGTTATTATAACATGTTTTATAACATTCAGTGTCCACATTATCTGAAAAAACATGTTGTATAGCAATGTTGTATAACATGTTATGTTATATAGTCTGTACGCACCATAAGACTGCTACAGGCTGACACCTGCTACGGGTCTAATCGTGCTACGAGAGAATGCTTGCTACGAGACAACGTCTGCTACGCGCCTAGGAATGCTACGGGCTGCTGCGATCTACGGGCCTACGCCTGCTACGGGATTCGTCGGGTGGGCGTCTCTACGCCAGTGGAGCGAATAGGCGGTCCAGGTTTTATTGGTGGGTGTCTATACGTAGTTACGCAGTTTTTTCTACTTAACTTTTTTAATATCACGTTGTGAAATCACGGGTCACGTGACTCTCCGGAGAATAAGTAAACAGTCAGGTACAAAGGACTGATCACCTACTTGCCTATTATTAAGCCTTATTTCTATTTCCAACCTAAACAAGAATATCACTCCTCTTTTTTGGAGATTATACATTTCTTTTTGTTTTTCGACACAGACGCGGTGGGCGAAGCCAGCAGCTAGTCTTACTACTTAGTTCTTTACTTTGGTAAATTACTGTAATTATTAATTGAGTACCTAGTTTTTACGTAACACATTTTATTCTTACTTGTCTACTTTTTGCAGTGGTTGTTAAAAAGCTTGTAATATCTCCACTTTGACTTTGACTTAATTTTGGTTTTCTGACAGGAAGAAATATTTGCGATTCCTTCTCGTGAAAAGATATACTGATGCTTACTTAAGCCTGAAGTGTTTCTGTTTTTCTTTTTATTTCCACTTTCTTATGTTATTCTGCAACTCTCACTACTCCGACTAGAGCTATTTGAACCTTCGTCACTCATGTCAAATTGTCAACATTCACTCCGAAAGCAATAAGCATTTAGAGTACCTAGCTAGGTAAATGGGCGAGAACAATAAATAAGATAGACTCAAAGCGAAGCTCAATTGGAAATTACTGAAATTGAAATAAAAACTCATATTTTATAAATAGCACAAGCTGAAGACCAACAAAGGAAAATGCGGCATTCTTTGATAGATAGAATAAATCTTTGAAAGATTAAAAAACAGAAGTATCAGAATCAGAATCAGATAGGTTTTGTGCCTACGCAAAAATAAAGTGTAGATAATTATGCAAATAATATTGTTTATTATGTTCCTCTTTTATTGGAACTAGGCATGTTCCGTTCCGGTACGTTGCCTGCTGTTTTTATGGAGGTTACTCGCTACTAGAGTAGGTACGATAGAAGTTGAAAAACCGACACTGCAAATCTCGATTTTTTGGAAGTGTGTGATTTTAAAACAAAATGCGGCAAGCAATATGACGTCGCTCATATTTAAAGTATTTCCACGTTTCAAGTTTGTTAAAATCACCCACTTCCAAATTTGCAGTGAAACGTCCTTTAAAAAGGTATAATAGGTATAAAATAAATATATAACATAAACTAGGTATATTATTATTACTAAATTTTTTATAATATCTACCTATCCTTACG